TTGATTGTCGATTCGTCGGCTTACGACACAACTTTGTTTGCACGTGTAACTCAACTTGATGCCTTAGCCTTAAGATTTGATGTGTTTCTTTGAGGGTTTTACCCAAACTTCTTTTAATGACCATTATAAAGAATTTATGAGTTTTTTATGGGAAGTTGGACAATGGCTGAGACTTCAGTATGTGAGGCATGATGTGAGTTACAGGGAATAACAAAGTTGGTTGCATTGGTGTATGGCAATGTAACTTTCGTACGTGCTTGTGTCTTATGCAGGTTAGTGTTTTGAAGCTTGGTATACGAGTTTTACTTAGGAGGCAGTGAGAACGAAAACCATGTGCCGAACTATCTGCATACCTGATGGGTTTATCTTTCCCCCTTTTATTTTATCTCGAGTTATGATCGTAATGCAGGTATTTGGATGTCTGTTTATTTTCTAATTGATTTTGCTTGTTAATTTTTATAGTTGGATGTTGAAGTCCGTGACAACCGTCAAAGTCAAACCTCATTATTATAGTTGGATGTTGAAGTTCGTGACAACTATCAAAGTCAAAGCTCTTTACTTCTTTCCAGACCTTGGATGATAGAGCTCACCTCCAATGCTATAAGCGTTGACTGTCATGATAGGTCTGAACCTATCCACCAACCGCTCTTCGCAGGGTGCAGAAGAGGGTGTGGTTTTCAACCGCCTTAGCGGTTGTGTAGTGTTGAGAGATTAACCCCTCAAGATGCGTGTCAGCCGACACTTGAGTGTCGAAGGTGATCCTCGAAACCACCGAGAGCCCCGCGATCATGGATGTTACATAGTACACCATCACAGCTACTGTTTGCGTAACCATGCACGACTCGTTGATATGAGTTAGTCTGCATGCGCGCGATATTTATTATGAGTCTCGAGCGCGACGCTCAGCCGATTTTATGTTCAAAGGTTATGGGTTGGATACTAAAGGGACTAGAAGTGTTTTGTTTTGTGTGAGTGATCTGACTTTTTGTTTTGGCGTGGTGTAACGCGTGGTAAGAAGGATGCATCCTAGTCGACCGAGGACGAGTCGCGTCTGGGACTTCAGCCTCCCAGTGCGTCGACTTGCGTACGGGTCCGATAACGGCATGGAATCGCGCGTACCCCCTACGCTACAGCATACAAGAAACGCCCCCGGCTGGTCCACCTCTACGATTGCATAATTTGCATGTAAAAACTTTTGTATTGTGGACCGGTAGTTGGACAGGGATACGCCCACCTAAGGGATGGGTTTATCTTTCCCACTTTTATTTCATCTCGAGTTTTGATTTTAATGCGGGTATTTGGATGTCTATTTATTTTCCGATTGATTTTGCTTGTTAATTTTTATAGTTGGACGTTGAAGTTTCAAGTTGTGGCAATCGTAAAAGTCAAACCCCTTGACTTCTTTCCAGGCCCTGGATGATGGAGCTCGTCTCCAAGTCCATAAGCGTTGACTGCCATGATAGGTTTGAACCTATCTACCAACCGCTCTTCGCAGGGTGCAGAAGAGGATGTGGTTAGCAACCGCCTTAGCGGTTGTCTAGCGTCGAGAGTTTAACCCCGCAAGGCGTGTGTCAGTCGACACCTGAGTGTCGAACGTGACCCTCGAGACCACTGAGGGCCCCACGATCATAAGTGCTGCATAGTACACCATCATTGTGACTGCTTGCGTAACCATGCATGGCTAGTTGATATGAGTAAGTCTGCGTCCGCGCGATATTTATTCTAAGTCTCGCACGCAACACTCAACTGATTTTGTGGCAAAAGGTTATGGGTTGGATACTAAAGGGACTAGGAGTGCTTGTTTTGTGTGAGTGATCTGACTTTTTGTTTTGGCATGGTGTAATGCGTGGTAAGAAGGATGCGTCCTAGTTGACCGACGACGAGTCGCGCCTGAGACTTCAACCTCGCAGTGCGTTGTCTTGCGTACGGGTCTGATATAGGTGTGAAACCGCATGTACTCCCTAGGCTACAGCGTACGAGAAGCGCCCTCGGTTGGTCCACCTCTGCAATTGCATGTAAAAACTTTCGTACCGTGACTGTGGACTGGTAGCTCGAAAGGGATATGCTCACCTAAGGGATGGTGACAACTCCCGTAGGTGGAGGTAAGTTATACCTTACATGGCCCTATCCTGTTGTAGGGATTCACGAGAGGTATGGCTGACGCACTCAGCCGGAGCGACAACGCTCTGAAGTCCTGCAAAATCCCGCGTGACGCGGCCGGGAAGGTCCCCTCTCTTGCAAGGGTCGTGCGCTCGACACGGCTTTCCATTATGACCCATGGCATCTCCACCCTTCTCCTCTTCACGCCTTTCCTCCTTCACCTGTAACGGTTTTTCATCCCCTCTTCCTTCACTGTGATGCTTCTTCCCAACTTCTTCTCGACTGAATCTTGGTCCCGCTCCACATTACTCTTCGCGCTCTTCTCCTTCCCGCCTTCATCCCCATACAGAAACTCCCTACCGATCCCCCCCCCCTTCAGGGTATTTAATAACAGAAAAGTTCCCACGAGAAATAAAAGTTGAAAAAACATTCCATAAAAAAAAAATCCTTCATATTTATAAATTATTATTCCAATGTTCGTCAAATTTTAAAATTTTCAATTTAATTTGCTAAGTTCCCGTCTAAACATGAGTTTTCTCTTCCAACTACATCTATTTGTTCAAGATGGAATGAAAGTCTGGACGAGTTTATGAAATATTTTAATTAGAATTTAATTCTACTACAACAAATATCTTCTAATTTAGATTGGATTAACATATTTATGACTGGAAATCCTTACTTAAAATAACAGTCAAATTAAAATATTTCATGAACTCATCCAGACTTTCATTCCATCTCTAGCATGCAGTTCAAATAAGAAGGGATATGCCATTCTTGGAAGGAAAATTTTCAAGTAAGACAAAAAATTTTAAAATTGGAATGACATTTTTTAAGATAGAATGAAAATTTAAAATTAAGAATGTAATTTTACTCTAGAACTAGGTTATCAGTCGTCCGATGGCCGGACGTCTCGGCCCGACGTCTCCCCCAACCGTCCAGTAGGGGGGTTGTCCGGGATCGCGGACAACCACTTTTTGGCATTAAAAAAAAAAAAAAAAAAAAAAATGACAGTGTTGCGCATGCCTTAGAGACCCCCCATATGGCGTCTCTTTTTGCGCACCCACAAGACGAACCTTCAGACCTTGCCATAGCAATTCGTGGCCGTCTGCACTCTCCACAACATCCTCCTGGACATGGGTGTCGATTTCGACGAGAACCTCTTGTGGGAGGTTGACGAGAACGGCGTTCGGCGGAGAGTCGACTTGGGCATTGTGGGGAACGGCAGTGGTGGGCGGCGGCAGTGCACCAACGTCAACGGTGACTTGTTGCGGGATGCGCTTCGAGACCGGCTGGCTTTAATGTAGATGCACGCAGAAGAACAAGGGGATGGTCGGATTGGACAAAGGGGGTCAGTNCCTTCCTCTCTTCATTTGACAGCCTGAAGAAATCTGCCTCGCCGCCGGCATTCTGGAACCTTTGTATCTTCTTGTAGTTCTGGAATAGATTGTCCCACTTCTTCATGCAGTCATCGGCCTCTCTAGGACCTGTCTCTTATACACATCTAGATGTGTATAAGAGACAGTGATTGTGCATCACCTTCGCCGTTATCGCCGCGTGATGAGGCCTCGGTGTGCAGGCTGCTACGAAAGCCCCACCCCCTGCCGACACACACCATCGTCGTCGTCGTCGTCCTCCTCCTCCTCCCGCGTGGCGTTCAACTGTCTTCGGCCTGTCTCTTATACACATCTAGATGTGTATAAGAGACAGGTGTAGAGCAGTGCTGCGTTTTTGTAGTGTTTCTSAAGCTCTGGGATGTTTAGCGTAGTCGCCCCACTTGCGTTCCCCTCTCCTCCCGTGTGGCGGTTTGTTGGCCGCCGCTGAGTTCATGTCGCGCGCGAAGTCGCGTTGTAGCCTGTGACGCCACCTGGTAGTCGGCATTGTAGGCGTCAGTCGTTTTGGAAGTTTCGATGGTGGGGAGACCACTAGGGTGTGTAGCGCTGAGTTGTCTTTTTGGTGTGCTTCGTGCAGTTGTTCGACGTTTTAATATATGGACAACCTTTTTTTTACGATGTCGATTTTGTTTTTTTTTTGCCGTTCTACGAACCTCTGTTCTGTCCATCTTTAATTGTTTGAGGTCTGTCGATGACTGGCACACATTCGGTTCACTTTTGAAATCTGTGGAATTGCTAACAATGCAGGCATTCAGATTGTATGTCTATGTTGTTCATCTTCAACGTCATAATTCTCAAGCAAACAGATTACATGGCCAAACTCTTCTTCTTCAGTGTCATGTTTTCTGAAGCGAACGTAATGGTATGTTCGGACGGCGTGAAAAAAAAAAAAAAAAAAAAAAAAAAAACAGACGACGATTTGGGTTTTCCTTTGATGTAGATGCATTTGGAAACCAACGGAAAGGGGATA